ATGAGTTATGTAGGTTAGCGGGTTTCTTTCACTATTTGAGCATTTTCGTGATGCTTTGATGAGAATATTAGTGCAATATCCATTAAAGTTCTAGAGGATCATAGACGAACATGGGTTATAGTCGAACACCGTTTTGAACTAGAACCTTGTGCGCAGTGAAACAAATAGGTCTACCTTGAATGCCCGTAACTCGGACAGTGACCAATGTGTGCAACCATGTATGAGTATCCGCAACATGTTAGAAAAATGTGCTAACATAAAAGCCAACGGGTACATTGAAAGCCCTCGAATTAGCACTTTTTGTAGAACTGCTTAAGACGTTTATCTTGCAGGGGCTCGTCAACGTTAGACCCTTCCGTATGGAAGACAGCTCGTAATGCTAATAATGAAGCCAGTATCCAGTTCACTTCTAAAATGGGTTAGTGGTTTGTAAAAAAAAATACCGTTTAGGAGGATTTTATTAAAATTGACGCTCTTCAGTATACAGTAATCACAATATAAAGGAAATTGAATCAAGCTTTGATAAACGAAATAGAAGTACCCATCCAGAGAAAGCAGTTCGGTACCAAAGAGGCGAGACACAGGTAGGCTAGCCATCGTGAATTGTCACAACAGTGTTTCCCAGAATGGACGCATTTAGATTAATTCTGATGCCTTAGTAGAACCTTGTCATAGCACATGTACATGCAACGATGTGTCATCGGTATGTTCTGTAGCACAGGATCATTTCAAACGCAGAAGACTTCCCAGATTTCAGGGTAGCAAATTCGAGAGTCCACCACTGAAGCGCATCGATCAAGCACCAAACCTCGCATACATGGAAAAAGCAGAAAGGTAATGTCGCCAACAGTCTGAAAGGTCAACGAAATAAGTGCAGAAAAAGGGATACAAACCAAGGACCATGGAAGATGCAAAAAAAACCATGATGTGTTGAGCCCAGTTAATTTTGTTTTATTAAATGCGATCAGATCTAGTTCTTAATTTTTTTGCTTTCTCCGTAAGATATCGTTGAAATTTAGTGCTCACATGAGGTGTGGTTTCCAGCACTGCTTGATTTAAGATGACACGGTGGAACTCCGCTTGAATTTTTTAGTGATGCCAACCGATTGGAAGCGAAACAAGAAATGGCGGGAAATTCTAGAAATGAAGTATCAAGTAGAAAAAGAAATAATGTGGAAAATTTTCCGAAGCATGAAGAGAAGAGAGAGAGCTCGTTGAAGAGTAGTGGATCTAGCGTAAGCAAATCGAGCTCGAGCATGAAAAGCCATCCATTATCGACACGAGCAAAAGGTCAAGACTCCAGGGGCGAGACCCAGATAACGTCGAAGCCGTTGTTCGAAATTGCAAATCACAAGTTTGAAACAATCGCAAGCAGTCCACTTTTATCGAATTGCTCGAATCGCCCTAATAATGTTCCCAAAGACAATACTTTTCAATTTAGAAATGGCCGTGTGAAGATGAAGTCGTACCAGGTAGGACCGATACATAATGGAGGCCATAATGACCATTTGAGAATGAAGTTTGAAATTCAGGACGCTTCCAAGGCACCTCTCAAATCTGAGGCATTTTCTACCAGTAATTTAAGCTCACCGTTGACTGACGAAAAAGAAGGTTCGCGATATTTCTTTCTCTTGAAATACATCAAATCTTCGACCCACATAAAGTGTTTCTTCTCTGTCTAACTCTGCTAGCACACTGAAAGCAGTTCGACACCGTCTGCTTCGTGGGCTTAGTTTTTATCGGTCAGATCGTTCGTTGCGTTTAGACCTCGCCCAATAGGGGTCACGGTGCTTATAGTGTACCTTTTTTATAGAAATTAGTCAAGAACTAACATGAAACAGTTGAACGCAATTGAAAAAGATAGTTATAAATACACAGCTTCTCCTCGTCCACTGTTCTTCGCAGTATTTTACTAAAATTGATTCTTTCTTAAAGATTTCTTCCCTTCTGAGTCATTTTATAAGTCTAAGATCTTACAGTTTCTTCTCGGAGAACTGAAACATTGGTTTTCTCAGATCTTTTCACCACTTTTCATCCATTCAGCTAGGTGCAATATAGTCTTTGTTTAGTGCAGACGGTTTCCAAAATTCGTAAACCTTCTAATCCTTTCTATCCAGGAAAAGACAAATTAAAGGTGAGTTTTCTGCTGTCCTTTTAGCTACTACGGTTCTGCAAAAGCATTCTGTAAAGTGTTTTGTTCCTTATAGCGTACCAACCTCTCGATGACTAAATCTCGCTTGAAAACAGTGACTTATAAGGAAGAAGTGAGTCTCATCCTTTATTTTTAAGCCTTATATTGACAAACCTCTAAGGACGTTTTGTATTTTACGAAACTGTGAAGGCTTCTCATGGCCTCTTTCAGTCTGTCGTGCGTAGTGTTTGAAAAAACTCGAGTTTCTGCTGCCTTTGAAGGATTTCCCATGAAAATGCAACATTTCGAATCACTCAGGATGTTCACAGTACTCGCTTAAACAATTGTCTTTTAGCCCTTCATGTCGGAATTCAAGAGCTGGCTTCTTCTGTTCGTTTTCCTTTGCGTGGTTTGGATCTATCGATCAACACTTTCTTCGTCGTTGTAAACATTTGACTTGTGGCGTTTAAATAGAAGAGTTTCGAGTTGTATCGTATGCAAAGCATTGCTCAAACATGTTAATCGGACATTAAAGTATATTCCATATCTGTTCGAGTACATTCGTAACTGAAGTAAATGCTGGTGAACTCGTAAAAGATCGCTCTACGGAGTAAATGCTATGGAGCTCCCACAGCAGACATTAACTGCGTGAGCATTCATGGTTTTACCTATGCGCATGCATATGCATGTGCACATATATATACATGCGAAGATATATAGATATGTAAATAGACATATATATAGAGTATATTATATATAAATATATATAGACGATAACAAAGGAAAAAGTTTCGACACTGATTCAATCCCTGAGGGATGCGCCATGTATTCGACTTCATTAAGTATCGTTGAAGGTGATTGAATGGATATTTGCTCTTTACAATTACTCGTGGGTGGCCCAACAGCGAGCCATTACTGCTGTCCTTCCAGACAAGTGTGGTAGCAATTTGCCCACCCGAAAAGATGGAAGGCTTGTTAGGCCTGGGACACGTGGACCGATCCCATGTGTATGCAGGGCACCTCCGACCACTGAGCCACACGAGCATCTATATACAAATATATATATATATATATATATACATGTTTTCTTCTATGCTCGGCCTTTTCCTAATAATAGTATCATAATGTACTTATATGCATATATATATGTGTACATACGTAGATGTATTTTTTCGAATCTCGGTGCTATAAATTGAAAAATGTTAATACCATGACACCGCGTAGGTCACTCATATAACTTTGCTCTTATCGAAATCAGAACTGTGTGCAATTGACGGATTCAAATCTATGCTGTTAGGAAAAAGAGTCGATAATAAGCGATCTACTGCTAACTACAGTAGATGACACTCAGATCTAAAGTGTAGAACTCGGCTGTTACTGTCTAAACGAGAAATTCGGTAGTCTGTCAGGAAAAGGAATCACAGCCGATTTTGAGAAGCAAATTTTAGGTGCTATAACTCCGGTCCACGACAATCTTATTAACATAGAAACTACGAGGTATTTTTGAAAACAAGGTACAAGTTCGCTTGTTTCGATAGATTAGAATTTTGAAGTTCTGGATCACAGGAACTTACTTGCTGAAAATCGTACGCTGTTATATGCAGCTCACTTTTCATCGCATGTCACAATGCAATCAGAAACTTCCTCTTTTGAGTGCATAGAAGAATCTTAGGACAGATTTGATGACGGTGGTGTTGCGGGGATTCATTGGATTCACACGGCACCTATTTATCGAGCTTTTACAGCATTATACGGTCTTGAATGATAAACAGTGGTTGAATCACGAATGTCGACTTTTTATACACAAGAATGTATGAGCAACCTGTCATGAGTGATCCTTGACGTGAATAAAACCTCGCTGAGCAACTTCAAGATGGACATACTCTTATAAAAGCGGCAGTGGTATGTTAAGAACATGGTAGCGATGGAAAGGATCTTACAAGGCGATATCGCTGGTAGACGGCTTCTTTGAGAGACCCGAATGCGGCCTATGCTGCTCTCCGTCTTCTAATTCCTCCTTCATGTTGTTTGTTCTCCAAGCTCATTGAACGTCCAAAGCACACGTCCGAGGTGGTCTCTGTAATTAGAGAACCATCAAGTTCGATTTGTTCGTCTTCCCACCACAGGTTCTTCATGAACTGGAATTCAGTTGTAGCAATACTCGATAACTGTTTTTTATCAGAAACTGTTGGATCTCATTGATGAACGAATCACGGTGAGCAATGAAGCATTCTGAACAAGTCTCGTCAGGGATTTGGCACTTTCTCGTCGCGAAAAGGTGTACATAAATGTCCAACGTCATTCTTCCAGGAAAGTCGAAGAGTAATCTCTGCATCCTCTTCACTGGCAAGTGGGTGCCCTCTCCAACAACAACACTCATGCCAGAAAACTAAATCGTTCAAGAAACTTCTTTCATAAATTTTTGAGTAAAAAGTAGCTTATTACGGGCTACACCATATCTCTGTAGCGAAACGATCTACTGAAAAGGCCACATTGGATCCCCCTCCACCATTCTTTTGCATGAACAGTATGAAATGAATCTGGTGTCATATGTTTGGCTATTATATTTGAACTTTAGTATCAAACATCAGGTACGTTAACTTAAATCACTTGGTTGCCGCAGTCCATTTAGTCACTTCCGCTTCGGAACTCTCATCTGTCAGAAGAGGTATATTAACTTGCCAGCGGTGATGATTCAGTGTATTTCCCTCGTATCTTCTGAGGAGGAGCAACACTGAAAGTGGTGCTCATACGCTAACTTGAGAAGTCGTCCACATAGTACTTAATAAGAGATTTCGTCGCTTTCTCTATGGACATCAAAGACCTCCAACACGATAATGGTTAGCAAAGCTTATTGTTTCAACGCTTAATGTTTTCTTCTGAGTTTTTAAAAGCTTTGCTCACTTTAGAAAAAAGCGTTGTGCGTGATCAAATAGCCCGCCTGACTCACGATCAACGAGCAATGATTCGTTCTTCGCACGCTTGCATGGAAAGAGAATCAACAAAAAATGGTCTCGGTCTATTTGTGAGGTGAGTGCGAACGAAATTCAATTATCAAAATGTATAGTCTGTAGCAAAAAAGTGACTCGGGAGGGGCAGGTGTAGCAGTGGTTAGCAATATCGTCGATCAGGAAACAAAGGCGATGGTTCGATCCCGGCCCCAACGCTCTCCTCCAACCCAAGTGGGTACGCTTTAGCTCGGCTGTATTGAAGATTGCAAGAAGAATCTATTCTACCAGTATTCTAGGATATTCGTTAGGAAAACAAAATCTTCAAACAACAATAGGAACAACATGCGGAGTGTCCAAAGATCACTGTGGACAATGAATGCGAGGAAAATGAATCGAATACAAGGAGTGGTGCACAGTAAATCTGATAACGGATCGTAAAAAGTAGTCTCACCATTCAAAATATTTGTACCACATAGGCAAACACTTGAGATCTTCTTTTGCATCGTTATCATCTCATCGTAGAGTGCTTTACTTAGGTTTGGTCATTCGGATTAATTTAAGCATAAAAAAAAGAGCTACATTATAGGTTATTCTCTGAGTATCCTCAGTACAAAAGCATATGGCCGCAATTTCGAGAGATACCGGACAGTGCCCTCATATCTTCGGACAAACTACGAAATCATGGCGTTGTTTATATGGCGGGTTTAAAGGTAATTTTAATCTTATTGTAATAAACTGACGTAAATTCGAAACTGAATGCGAAGCTACTGGAGTGAGACAAGAAGTTGTGGATGTCGTGAGAAGTCGTACCCACTGGATAGGGCTTGCCTTAATGATTCAGATTTAGAAATCTAGAATCCAAATTTAAAAGTTTGGTGTTCTACCTTGTCCGTTAGCGTCAGTCGTCATATTTTATACCAGTTTAACAGCGTTTAAATACCTTAGGCTCACCAAGTCTTCTGTCGCTCCTTAGTCTGCAAATTGGTACCAGCCTTACCTAGGAGGATACCAGCGATCATTTGATAGATCGAAAGGCCACCAAAAGTATTTGCACAGGCCAGATATGCACTCAGTTACCTCTAATTATGCCCAATGAAGTCTAAATTTTGGCGCTTCCATTAGGAAACGATAAACTTCGAACGCTCTGTTCTTTACTTTCGCCAAAGTCCTTCTTCCCATAATTTTGAAGTGAAACTATTAAATTTTCGTGTTCTTTGAAGTGAGCATCTACTAAGATTTCCGGCTCCATAATGCAGTCTTTGAGTGGCTTAAGTTAATGCGATTCTCCAAGCGAAGCTCTAGCACTTCTCTAGTCCATTTATGTGGGCGCAATTTATTGATTGTAAGAGGTAACACTTCTCATACAGTGTTTCTCTCCATGGCCACTTAAGAGATAACAACACTGGCTTTCCAAAACTATGAACTTTTCAATTTAATGGCCGTTTTTTAATTATACATGTTGGAGGAGGAGGCCGTAGCTCCATAGTTAGAGATGTCTTACAATACACAATACCTGACCTTTGGTTCTATCCTGCGCCGGAGTTCATCAAGCCGTACATCCAGCCGGAATCGGCAAGTAGGTACCAGACTCGTCTAGGAGGATAGCAACACTGACCTGACACATCAATAGGCCACTGCGAGCCATTGCATTGGCTAGATGTGCATTCAATCATCTCCAACGATGCTTAATGAAGTCGAATGCATGGCGCATCCCTCAGGGTTTGACCAACGCCTGCTGCTTTATGCTTTATGCCTTATCCTTTTTTCTTTATAAGTGCTACAGTACTTGATCTTAAAAATTTTTTGCTGCTTATCTTGTTTATGTGAGGCATTACAAAGCTTCTTTATCATCATGGAAGCAATTTCATAGAAGAGACATGGATCTTAATGATAGGAAAAATTATGGGGACCCATCAGCAGTTGACAACGACAGCCGGAAAGTTCGAAGCTACCTATCGAAGAACTGCTCGAGAAGTTGTAGAAAAAATCGACGTCAATATAATTCAACAATCGATTATCACTCGAAAGATATTAGAAAAAAAGGAAGCTCTTCAAGTGGTTACCGTACGAACTGAGCGAAGAGCATATATCGTCGTTATGAAGTCTGCTCTGCCTTCTTTTGAACAACGGAAACGATCAGCTTCTGGATTTCCTCTTACGGTACGATGGAAATAATGCTAGTAGCTCTACCACCCAAACATATATCGTCGATACAGCACCGAGTAGAATACCATTTGAGATTGTCGCTGTCATTTGCATGGAATTTTAAGTAGTTTCAAACTTATCTGTTCAGTTAATCTTCTTGGTTTATTTCATAATTTTATGTTCAAAACGAGAGTTCTTGTCAAAACATCAAGTTTTGGTTTTAAGCAAGTCGTTGCTGAATTGGACGATGATGATAAGCTGATCGAAATAGCGAAACGAATAGCTGGAAGCCACTGCAAGTGGAACATCTGTAAATTTCACATTGAGGTTGGTTTGATGAAGTCAGCTGACCGTAATCAAATCTTTTTAAAAAGTGCTTATATTACTTCATTGAAATATTCAAGAAAGTACTCGATTTCCAGTGGCGGCCTCGTGAGACGACGTTACCTTTTGCCACCCTCTGGGGTACTCCCTAAAAAAGAGATGAGTGGGGGTCCAAGTTTTGCGAATATCTCAGCATCGTTGTGGTTGTATTTCACATCACATCTTGCCATGAGAAAGAATGGGCAGTAACTAGAAGGTGAACAAAAATAGTTGGCTCCAACCGGTTCCTTCTTTCATTTGCCTTTCAGCAATTTCCATGTTGCTTTTAACTCTTTAACATCCTTCTATTATTTATTTTTTCATGATTTTTGGAACATAATTCAAGTGTGAGCGTAAAACATGCTATCCAGCCGCGGTGCCGTCCAACTTCGATTGTTGGCTCCGCAACATGTGTTGACTTCCACTACTTTCATGTCCTCCCGTTATGATAACCCTGATTCACCGTGGCGATTTGAAACGAATGAGCATCGACTACTGGCTAAAAGAAGAATTTCATAGGATAGAATCATATCTTCGAAACATGAACTGAATTGTATTTTCGATCATCAAAAGTAACTTATTTGATACTTGATACTTGAACGCCCCGTCCTCACTGTTTGTGCGGACCTCAGCATAGTCTCCATTTTTCGGAGACTTGCTGGTTAAGCCATCGTGGTTCTCTGGAATTCTGAGGTCAACCTGGCTAAAGTCTGCACCAGGTCTTCACTACCACAGGCAGTCGCAGCTCTTGTGGATCAGAGGGAGATTTGCCACCAAGCGACTTTGGTGCCAGAACGATGGTGGATCCTAGTATTGATATTGGGAATTCAAAAGTAAACAAGACGGAAACTTAACACGCTCAAGACAATGAGGATTCTCTTTCATCTTTATAGGATCTGTGTTGCTCGTAGTAGAATACGAAGTGGTTTGGAGAACGAAGACAAAAATGATGAGGATGAATTGGTATATAACCTCTAAGCATAACCATATTATAATTTTCGATGGCAGTCGGGAGTGAATCAACTGTGCTTAGCTGAACAGAAGAAAAAAAAGATAAATTTTTATGGATTATTTATAACCGATATTTTGGATCTGCTTATGAAAGAAACGAGTGAATATCGCCAACGGGAGGACTAGTCGTGGGCAACGAAGGGATAACTATTGAAGAAATTAAAAGATTCATTGCACTCTGCCTTCAGGGAATTTCTCGATTTCTATGGCTGAAGGTTCCTAAGCAACTTACTTGGATATAAACTATGATGGCTAAGCTGTGTTGTACCTGGTTAACTCATTTACTGGATTTCTTAAAAGAAATTTCAAGAGTCTACAGAACTGACAAAGATCTCTTTATTGAGGAATCCTTCGTGCATTTACGGGAAACCTCATCCTTCTTTGGTCTGGTGAACCACTCTCCTACGCAAAAGCACCGGGCACTAGTGAGGTTCATGGACGAGTTATTAGATTAAGGAAGATATCTATTCCCTTGGTTGAGGGAATACTCCGAAAAAAGACTCATTTGAATAGCATTTTAAGAAATAGCAAGAGAAGATTCTCATGGCAGGTAAAATAACAATAATTGAAGAGGCGAAAGTTAGATCTAGTAGAATTAGATAGGTATGATAGTGCTCAGATGGAATAATTAAAGGCACTTTATTAGGATGTTCACGAAACATCACACCATTCAGTCTGTCGCTCCGGTTGCAGGTGACGAAAGCCTGAGAAGAGAAACCTCTTGTTTTGCTATAAGTGAGCACGAGACGACTTTGCATCTTCTAAATCAGCGAAACTACGAAATGAACGTCTCTTCATAAAATAGTTAAGGATGTTCTGTTCACCATCTAGTCAATGAGACATGTTTGATAGACATAAACTGTGTACTGAAAATATACAGGAAATCGCGGCGATTAACTTCAGGAATCAAGTCTATCTTGAACCTATTTCAATGCACATCATGTCTGCTTCTTCGAATCTCCTTGGCTTGAAAAAAGTCTGCAAGCGAAAAAACTGGCGAGGTACATTGACTTTATAAGGATCCGTCAATGCACCATGACTTCAGATTTCAAGCAAAGTGTGTGAAACGGATTTAAACGAGAGGAAGCCATTATGCGAATCACGTAAACCGATAAAACATTTTGCGAGGATTCCAGTACTTTTGTCATTAAAATTCCTTTCCCAACACCTATCATCGACGAAGGCCTTCCATTTAGAGTGTGTGTTCGGCTGTTGATTGATTTTGGTCTTCTCAGTGAACGTCGTTGAATTCCGATTGACTCGATTCTACCTGAAATTATAGAATAGTCACGCTAGGACGTTCCCAAGTCTTCACATACATTCAGATTAGCTTTATCCAATCATCTTTCATGAATATTTTGAAAGGCGAAAGAAGTATCCTGTATTAATACACAACGATCTCAAGCCTTAAAGCCCAATTAATCGAGTGCATCTGAGACTAAAATACCGAATACTTGGATACTTCGACGGCCCGTCTTTACTAGTTATACGGGCACCAGCACAATCTCCACGTTTTTTCTTTTTGGAGGCTTGGCGGTCGAGCCATTGTGGCTTTCTGGGATCCCGAGGTCAGCTTAGCCAAGGTCTGCCCCGAAATACCGAATAATTCAGCTAAAAGTCATAAATATCGTTTTAAGCTTAACCGACACTAATTAATAACATTGCCTTGATAACTATTATTCCTTCCATAAACGAACATGTGTTTGTTGTCACTTCACATTAGCTATTCGGTGCACAACAGTGTGTAGAATAATTTCAGAACATGGTTCCCAGTCTTTTGGAAGTGTTGAATTTGTGCATGGGCAGTGAGATGACTTCAGAGATAGCAGATTCGTGGACTACACTTTACGACATCATTGGAAATATCATCAGCATTGAGAAGACTAAGTGCAACAAAAATTCTCACAGTTAATTTACGTGCGCTCAACATATGAGCGAGCTGAGATAATAGCGGAGCCAATGGATTAGTAACAAAATTTGTGCCTTCCTTGCTCCTTTACGTCATTGTGTTATAGAATTGATCTGTTGTGGACCTCAGGCATACAAGTGTCCACATGCCGCTTGAATTTTTCCAGAAACGTTTAGAAGGGAACAGTATAATTGTTAGTATTCTGTGCACTCTATGAATCCCTCAGAAGGAATCAAGTACTATTTTCAAAGCATCATACACTTTTGCCTCCGAGGAATCGTAAATTTAAAACATGATATGCCGTGTAGTTGGAGACTCCACTTGTTCAAAGCGCTTCAGACGTTTTCGTCAACAATACTTTGATATCGGTGATACACAACATTCTTGCGGTCATCCGTTGCCGATATCCAAGAATTCTCACCTTCGACAAAAGCTACCGAGATCGAAATACTCGAGAAATCGCGGAACGAACATTAACACTTAACTAACTAACATTAACTAACACTTAACATTAACTCGACGCTTAATTTCGCATGGCTACCGCATTTAGCCGTTGCCTAATTTTTCGCTGCACGCGCTATGAATTTAACTCAACTCATGTTGACCAGTCTACTTCCACTCTAACCACTCACCTACGAGTCGTTTAAATATATTGGCAAGAATTTTTGTGCTGTTCGGTCCAAAAAAGCAATTCGCTGTCGCGATAGATATGAGGAAAGTAGAGACATATTAGTACTTTCCCCATTTTAACCATCCTTCTCTACTCATTTACAAGTCTCTGTGGCTTGACGAACAAAGTGGTCTAAAAGACAGTTTATCTACTTCATTAAGTGCATAAAATAGTTTCTAATCCCACGTTCCATAAACTGTTGGGCGTTGGCTAAGTCACCGATTGAATAAGTACAACAAGAAATTCCTATGCGGTAAAATCAACAAACAGAAAGAAAATTACCTGACATAAATTAGCGCCAGCCGATCCGTCCCATCACATGGAAACCAACTCACGTCGAAGTCTAAATGTTAATCAGTGCGCCTTTATTATTAATTCACATGACCGTCATAGCGTCTACGGCGCGGATTCCGGTAATTCTCGCACTCAAGTGGGTTTTCGCATTCAACGTTCACGAAGGTCTTGGAACATTTCGTGCGTTGCTTCGGCTACTGCTTGAGGATTTCGTCTTCTTTATGAATATCGTAGAATGTTAGTTGAGTTAATTCTTCTTGCAATTTTGGAGAGAGCAGCGCTAGGGCGTTCTCACATCTAGTGGGGAAACTGTTAAAGCGGTGTAGAACCAACACCTTGCTGCCTGATGGAACGCATCACTATCCCCCACTCTAGCATGCACAGACGAATTAGTCGTATTAGGGTTTTACATCAACTTCATGTTTTCTTATCACAAATCAAGGCATTAGGGGTCGGAGAGCGCAATTATAGTGTTGTCGGTCATCACTAGCACGGTGCTGGTTTGATTCCTTCCCGGCTCACCCAGCCTTTTATCCCTTCGGGGTCTCCGAATTTCTAGCGAACTTATCTGGGACAAAATCACTCGCTGCACTCCAGTTGCGAACACTCCAGCCTGGCCATCTCAGGACTCCAGGGAGAATCGAGTCGACCAGCATTCTGTGGCATTTAAGATTAAATTAAAATCCTCAAGCAGCAGCCGAAGCCACGCATAAAAGTTAGGAGGCCCTCGTGGATGATGAATGCGAGGAAACGAAGCGAGTATGAAAAGTGCTGGGATCCGCACACCAAACGTGAAGACGGCTCATATAAAATAAGACCAAAAAATCAAGATATTGGAAATCCACGCCAAAGACAAATGGAATCGTACTAAGTTGCTTATGACAACTTATCGTAGTTTGGAAGCACACTACGTATGCTGCATAAGTTCGAAAATTGAAAGACCGCATTTTCGCGTTTCTTCCTCAAGAATTACAAAACAGCTCTATTTTGAATCGGATGGTGATGGATTGTAAAAGAGCAATTCCATAGGTAGTAACATAAGGCGAACAAAGTTTTATTCAAAGTAAGCTATTCAGAAGTGGTTATGATGGGTTGCTTTTACGGTTAGATCTTGCGCAGTTCAATTAAACATATTATGGGCTACTGGCAGAAAGCTAATGTATTCGTTCGGACAAACACTACTTACTATTGTTGAAATTGGAGCAAGTAAGTCGGAAAAAACAATAAATAGAGTAATTAGGGATGCACTGGAATACAACCTGGACCGATCTCTGGTTTACTCCTACTCCCCGGGCTCGCCAGTGTTTCCAAAACACCGACGTCTGCAATTCCGCATCGCATCTCTGAGAACGTAGAAACAATGGTGTGCTAGACCGGTAGGCCACCGCAACGGATTGTATAAGCCAATTATGCATTCAATAACTTCTGCGATAATAAATGTAGTCGGAGGCATGGAGCATCTATCAGTTGATTAGAGCTGAACGCTTTATCCTTTTCTTCCTTTCTCCCCAACGCCAAGTCATTCATACTTCAATTTCGTCGGAACAAATTGTGGCCCATCACATGGGTCGGATGTTGCAGTTCATTGATCTTATTTGCCAAACAACGTATCCTTTGATTATAATTCTCAGGACCGCCTTTTTATTAATCTCAGCATAGGTCGATTAATTAGCTGTTCTGTTGATGAGCAAACACGATATTGTTACTTCATTCTTCATTTATGGACAAGGTGATGTTTCGGCAGATTTACTCTCTTTAGAGCCTGGAAGGGTGAAGTTGAGTTCAATTTACCCAGCCAACCACCTCCATAACCAAACCGAGGAAATACCACACCATGATTTCAATCATATTGAACACAAAATAGCTTCCTCGCAAACTCACCGCTTTCTATAACCTTTCACTGAGTATTTGATGTGAAGACCAACCCGCGCAGAGTTCACACATAACAGTAATATTCCTGTCACCTTAAAATACCAGTCTCAAATACTGCTTTGAGATCACGCGTGATTAGGCGACATTCATCTCTGGGGTTCATTTCCTAATTCTTGGAATTTACCAAGAATGCTTCGAGAGCTTTGCGCGCAGGTGCTTGTGATTCCTGTCGAAGGTTGTTGACTTCTACTTCAAAATCTTCACCGTTATTTCTCTGTGTCCTATGTGCACCTAGTGAAGTATTTGGTTTAACTTCGGGTTTACCGACTAGATGTTCTTTTATACGGAGGTAGAATGGTCTATCCGTTTCGCCAATGTACTCGTCTCCGCTCGCTTTACAAGAGATCATATAAACTGTACCGGAACTTAAGCAATCATCGTCTTTAATGTTAGAATACATTATGCAATTTTGCGTTGCGCATAGAAGCTCACAGAGGCGGTTGTGAAATAGCTGGCATCTTAGAGTGCTCGCTGGTATTTCAGTTATTGTTACCGAACTCTCTAGACCAGCCTTTCTTAACCAACGTTTTATAGCTGCACTTATTTGGTCTAAAATGAAGGCTAGGATAAACAGGACCTTATTATCGCTAGATTTGTCGTTTGGGTAGATGGGCCTTCCTGCGCACCTATTCCGAGGAGCTACTGTTAGTAACCTGCCATGAAAATTATAGAAGGCAGAAAACAAAACGTTAAACATTGTGATTTCAACTACAGCCATAGCTTAACTGGGTTCTATGCCGATTTGTGCTCCCCAGATCAACCCCGCTGACGGGTGATTGCTGTGGCAAAAAGATCGATAGAAATAGCTGAGAGACGTGCGAAACAAAGGACCCGTATGGTGTGGTGGTGAACGCGTTACTCCCCGGAAAGGATAATAGCGCGTTCGTTCCCCACCATAGACACCTGCGGTCCAGAGTTTTGCAAATATCTCAGCAACGTTGTAGCTACTGTTTCGTTAGCCATTGAAAATGGCTATTTGCTGCGCAATTTTACAGGACTCCTCCTTCTGCTCTCTTCTTGTGCAGACGCTCGTGGCTGTTTGAAACATGTTTCTTATGAGTGCCCTTTTAATGCGTGAGTTGTGAGAGAGGAGGTAACGAACCAGTACGTTTTTAGTACTTGGCTTTCGGTACCATTTTATGACGAAGTCGTTTTCGGATAGTTATCGGATAGTTAATTTGAGCGTTGAGAAACAAAAGCAGTTTTTTTCGGTTTCTCTTCAGTAAACTTAATATACCGTCACTGTTCGTTCAATAACTCAAAGCATTTGTCCATTTTCTCTTGTGTTCAACAGTTTCTTTCAAAACTCTGTAAGTGAGTATGGTGCGAATTCCACCTCCTTGGCCATGTTGTGATATATAGATCATCGAAGAAAATATGGTTCATTAGCGCTAGTTTGAAGCCAGTATATTTTGAATGTGAATGGTGCCTTGAAAATGGTTAAATATCCCTAGTAAGTGGGAATAATTCCATGCTTAATTTGTCTTCCCTTTGTTTGAAGTACTGAGAGCTTCGAGACTGATATGTGCTAGCTACTGCTTCCATTCTGTATCGTCGTGTGTGACTTGTTGAATAATAGTTTGGCTCTGATTATCTAATCACTGTCCATTTATTTAACGTTCTCCTTCTTTGACATCGACCATTAGAATTAGCAGCTGACTTCAGTGAGTATATAGTTACACTGTTTTTTCTTTACTGCCGCTTCTGCATTCTTGGAGAAGAAGCCTTGGGCAGGTGGAATACCTGCACTTTTAGATATTGACAGAACGCTTATGGAAGAGAAGAATGGTCTCCAAAGGAAAGTTTAGAGGGCTCAACTATCATTAAGCCGTGGCTACAGCTGTCAGTGAATGGATATATTTAGGATATACAAAGGTGGATTCAAAAACTCCGCGAGATCGAGAATTTCAATATGGCCGACGTGAAATATTCGAAAGTGGGAAATTTTACCATCTACGATCTTTGAATATGACTGATTCCAGCGTCCTGTTACATTCAGAATTTTAAGAATGAATATAATAGCTCGATAGAGTATAATACAAAACTACAATAACTCAAATAGAAACTATGACAGCCGTTAAGAATCCAAGTTTTCTAGTTGCCAGACTTGGTTTCGTCGGTTAGTCGGAATCTATTCTTTGAGCTATACCAACATTTTCTTAAAACTATTCAGAACACTTAAAGAATCAGCCACCAAGAGGCATCTCCAATGCAAGAAGTCTAGGTGCCAGGAGTAACACACACACTCGGTTATAGTCAATACGTCGTCAGGATAGAACGGTACGAGCAGTGAAGATACGTACGTGTCGGCAGCTCGAACAAAAGGTACACGCATCGTCCAAAAGAGAGGTAAATCATATCACTCGAAAGACCGACTTTCTATAAACCTCGGCATAGATAGTTGATATATTTATTTATATGGTCTTATAAACTGATCTTCCTAAGCTGATGCGAGGTTGGTACAGGTCTTCGTTGCCTTGTCGTTGTTGTTGATGCTTTTGGTCGATGGTTGACGTTTCGGCGACTTCGCCTTCCTCAGAGCCTGGACGTATTTTATATAAGAGTATTTTTATTATTCGGTGGAAAAAGGTTGAAGTATTAATGAAGATCGAACTTTTAAATAGACACCATATTGAACAGAAAGGACACTCACCGTGGTTTCGTGTGGGACTGGCCCACGAGTTGTTTACGTGGGGTCGCTAGCAAGACACATCCCGTGGTCAAAATATCATTTTGAAATAGGGCGCCAGGTCACGCGTGATAGTGAGGCATTCGTCCTTCCGGTTCATCCTTGGATTTTTGAAATTTATCCAAAACGCCTCAAGAGTTTTGCGCGCTGATGTTTTTGATTCCC